GTGTGCTTATTTAAACAGAAGAACGACGGTTTCCAAGGAGTCCTCGTGAAACATCGGTCAAGTACTCCTGTCTCGCGGTTACCGGAAAACCAATTCGTTCAGCCTCCAACGAGTTCTTCTCTGGCGGAAAATATTGCAGGAAATATACCGAATGACTTAACGATAACTAAATTACTGCCGAGTTATTGTCTTACGTCGTTCGGAAAACGAGATCCGGTTTAATATTCGCGGAGGGAGCGCTGCTTCGGTTGGGCAGGTTGCGAGGATTCAACGAGGCGGAAGGAAAAATCAGAACGAGTATTTCTGGATGACGGAAACGGAGGAATCATCGCGTCACGACCGGTTCAAGTGGTTATTCGTTAATGTAGAATGATCAGGAGAGAATTATCGATGAGACGAACGGGACGAAAGTGGAGCGAACGTGAAGGGAAGCCGGAATTTACACGGGAACTCGCAATGGCGTTCGATTCGCGGGTTATCGACACACAGATCGTCACGGGGATCGCGAGAATGCGGCAATTTCGTGTCTGGTATACGCGTGGCGAATTCGAGAATAGCCGAGTGTTTGCGTTATTCGAAAAATGGCTGCGCCACGTCCGCCGACCACTCGATATGTAACGGAGGTAGTGACCGGATGCTACTCCATTCGAGAAACAAATTTCCTTCGCCTCGTCTGTTCTCGCGTTTTAACCAATCCCCTGTCCACGACGTCGCTTTTCCTACCATTCCGTCGAGTCTCGGGGTGAAATTTTCGGCGCGCGGGGGTCGATAAGCGATACCGCGTTCGCGTTACCATTCCTGGTAATTCATCGTGGCAGTTGTTACCGTGGTGGCAATTTTTCAGCTGTAAATAAGCAAATAACTCAGGCCGGTTTCATTGCGCGATTTCTGCACGAGTGTATGTAAATGAAATGCGCCCGGGATCCTTGTCGAAATTACGTCATCGTCATTGACCTCGTCGATATCGTCCGTTTTCCTGGGCTGTATATTAATTAACAAGTCGCCGCGCGTTGTTTCATCCGATGGCACAGAGGGAAATCGCGCAGATGGAAATCGTGGCACGGAAGGAGTCTCTTTCAATCGACTTTACAACGCGTACGTGCCCACGACGAGGGAACGCCCGGCACGCGAATTTCCCCGTGAATTCAGCCGATCTGACTATCCGTTTCAGCGTTAGACGGTTTACGACGATTCAATCGGACGCTCTGCAGTTCCATTGATATACGTCTGATCGTAAATACTCGAGTGCTCTCCGCGGGAACGACATAAAACCACGGACTCGCATCTGCAGGAATAACCGCGAAGATCGAAATTTATGATCCTGGAACACGTAATCCTGCGAGATCGACGAATAGCGAGAAATAGCAGATTCCTCGGGTCTTTCCGAATTCCCGCTTCATCGAGTTTGTTGTCAAACTTCCGCCCACGAGGCACCTAGCCGCGTCTGCCTCGCAAATCGATCCTCCGCGTCGAACAATCGCCAAGATCTATCTATTCCCTGTCGATTTAACACCGGAATCTTCGCTCCAGCGGGCGTTGGTGTATTTCCAACCGTGAAAATAATTACGGATCCCATAGTTGAGACAAGCTCGGACAATGGTACAAACGCGATAAGCGAGTATCACGGAAAATTAGCCGAGGGGTTAATTCTTGCGAGGTCGCAGGGAATTTGGCAGTGCGGATTTTCGTTTTGCAATTCGAGCATTGGACTACGGTCTCGCTAGGAGAAGATCGGACAGTCGGGAATCTAGGGATTCTCTCGGTGTGTATTCAGTTTGTTGATTCGAACTGTTTCGACACGGCCTCGCGGCGGATGCAAAAGCGTATCGACGCTCGTTTCGGGGTCCTTCTCGGTGCGCATTCTTCCGGAACTGGGTTAAGACCCGAATTAAATTTTCCCTTCCCGGCCCAGCCGCGGCGAAATCCTGTTCGTTTGCATCGAGGCCGAAGGTGAAACGAAATTTCCGAATCGCTGGCGTAGAAACGCGTCCCGCTGCACCGCCCTCTTTCGCCCTCGGAACGTGCTTCCGGCCGACGAAACTGGCACGGTTAATGCGACCAGGATGGCTAAACTTGACCCTGTACAGGCCGCGATGCACAGGGTAGTCGCGGACCGTAAATCGATGTTCCCGACCAACATAATGGCCGAGATTGCCCTCTTGTGCGTGGAAAGTTTTCTTATACGAACCCCGCGAGATTCCCGTTCCGATGGACGTATGGCAACGAGCTAACGATTAGTCGCTGATGAGAATCGAAGTTAAGGGTTGGAATTAGTATTTGGGATTCGGTTAGCAATCAGAGTTGGATGCAATCAGTTAGTCTGTACTTGGTAATCAAGTAGTATTCAGAGTGGCGTTAGTCAGCTACTGATCAAGCAGTATTAACCGACGCGAGAGCAGATCGTTAGGCGATAAATAACCGAGTCCGCTCGAACGCTTCGCAAGTCGCGGAGGTTAAAAATTTATTTTCATCCGCTCGCCGGCTCTTTCGAGTATTTCGATTTCGATAAAATCGCATCAACAGAACAAACGGAGGATCGATGGCACTAAATAGAGTCGAAGCTGACTAGGAATCGAAAGTGTCAACTGATCGGGAATAAATCACCGCTGGTCGATTATGGTTTATTGTCCGGATTTTAAAAATAAACGATGTCACGTCCCCCGTCGCGTTCCCCATTTTGCAATTTCGATAGACGTTTGGCACTGCTGTCAACGCGATTGAAGCGCACTGTACTTCGTCGAAATCATAGAAATCGTCTAATGTTCCTTTCTTCGAGTATTTAGATTTTGAGATCGGCTATAAAATCGCATCACCCGATCAAACGGAGGATCGTTGGCAGTAAAAGAGAGTCCGAGCTGGCTTTGAATCGGAAGTGCCAACTGATCGGGAATAAATCATCGATCGTCGTTTATGGTTTATTGTCCGGATTTTAAAAATAAACGATGTCACGTCCCCCGTCGCGTTCCCCATTTTGCAATTTCGATAGACGTTTGCCATTGCTGTCAACGCGATTGAAGCGCACTGTACTTCGTCGAAATCATAGAAATCGTCTAATGTTCCTTTTCTCGAGTATTTTAATTTCGAGATCGGATATAAAATCGTTTGAAGCAGTCCTTCGTCAGGATTGCAGAGATCGTCTAATGTTCCTTTCTTCGAGTATTTAGATTTTGAGATCGGCTATAAAATCGCATCACCCGATCAAACGGAGGATCGTTGGCAGTAAATAGAGTCCGACCTGGCTTTGAATCGGAAGTGCCAACTGATCGGGAATAAATCATCGATCTCACCGCTGGTCGATTATGGTTTATTGTCCGGATTTTAAAAATAAACGATGTCACGTCCCCCGTCGCGTTCCCCATTTTGCAATTTCGATAGACGTTTGCCATTGCTGTCAACGCGATTGAAGCGCACTGTACTTCGTCGAAATCATAGAAATCGTCTAATGTTCCTTTTCTCGAGTATTTTAATTTCGAGATCGGATATAAAATCGTTTGAAGCAGTCCTTCGTCAGGATTGCAGAGATCGTCTAATGTTCCTTTCTTCGAGTATTTAGATTTTGAGATCGGCTATAAAATCGCATCACCCGATCAAACGGAGGATCGTTGGCAGTAAATAGAGTCCGACCTGGCTTTGAATCGGAAGTGCCAACTGATCGGGAATAAATCATCGATCGTCGTTTATAGTTTATTGTCCATGTTTAAAATAAACGCTGTCACGTCCTCCGTCGCGTTCCTGGTTTTGCGATTTCGATCAACGTCTGTCAAAGATGTCAACGCGATAAAAGCAGTCCTTCTTCGAGGTTACTGAGATCGTCTAATGTTCCTTTCTTCGAGTATTTAGATTTGGAGATCGGCTATAAAATCGCATCACACGATCAAACGGAGGATCGTTGGCAGTAAATAGAGTCGGAGTTGTCTTCGAATCGAAAGTGCCAACTGATAGAAAATAAATCACCACTGGTCGTTTATGGTTTATTGTCCTGTTTTTAAAATAAACGCTGTCACGTCCTCCGTCGGGTTCCTCGTTTTGCGATTTCGATCAACGTCTGTCAAAGATGTCAACGCGATAAAAGCAGTCCTTCTTCGAGGTTACTGAGATCGTCTAATGTTCCTTTCTTCGAGTATTTAGATTTGGAGATCGGCTATAAAATCGCATCACACGATCAAACGGAGGATCGTTGGCAGTAAATAGAGTCGGAGTTGTCTTCGAATCGAAAGTGCCAACTGATAGAAAATAAATCACCACTGGTCGTTTATGGTTTATTGTCCTGTTTTTAAAATAAACGCTGTCACGTCCTCCGTCGGGTTCCTCGTTTTGCGATTTCGATCAACGTCTGTCAAGGATGTCAACGCGATAAAAGCAGTCCTTCTTCGAGGTTACTGAGATCGTCTAATGTTCCTTTCTTCGAGTATTTAGATTTGGAGATCGGCTATAAAATCGCATCACACGATCAAACGGAGGATCGTTGGCAGTAAATAGAGTCGGAGTTGTCTTCGAATCGGAAGTGCCAACTGATAGAAAATAAATCACCACTGGTCGTTTATGGTTTATTGTCCTGTTTTTAAAATAAACGCTGTCACGTCCTCCGTCGGGTTCCTCGTTTTGCGATTTCGATCAACGTCTGTCAAGGATGTCAACGCGATAAAAGCAGTCCTTCTTCGAGGTTACTGAGATCGTCTAATGTTCCTTTCTTCGAGTATTTAGATTTGGAGATCGGCTATAAAATCGCATCACGCGATCAAACGGAGGATCGTTGGCAGTAAATAGAGTCGGAGTTGTCTTCGAATCGGAAGTGCCAACTGATCGAAAATAAATCACCACTTGTCGTTTATGGTTTATTGTCCAGTTTTTAAAATAAACGCTGTCACGTCCCCCGTCGGGTTCCTCGTTTTGCGATTTCGATCGACGTTTGACAGCGACGTCAGCGCGATTGACGCAGTCCTTCATCGAGATCAGTGAAGGCGTCTAATGTCCATTTCTTTTGTTTTTCTTCTGCGCAGGTGATATAGTCGATGCGATAGGAATTGATGATCCGCTCTGCCACGAGCCATCGAAATTGACCGATCGAAGGGCCGATTACCGGAAACAGACGACCAAAAATGTGACGCGAGGCGTGCACTCGACGGCCGGGGTTCGACCAGAGAAGACTGGACGACTATTGGAAGCGTGACGTTGGATTGACGGTGAGTGTTATCATCGGTGGTTATCGTCCACCTGAAAAACTGCAAGTTTCATTAACTTATCGATCTCTCGCATTCCCTCTTTGCTCACTATTTTCCACGCAATAACGCAATAACGCATTAACGTTATTCGTCCGATAGCATCGCGCATTTCGCGTATCATCTGCGATATCCAGGGAAAAATTTTCGAATTCAACCATCCGATGGAAACGAGTTCGCGACGGGTATTTTTATTCGTTTCATCGAGTTCTCTTTGCATTTTTAAAGGAATTTTTCACAACCGGTATCTGGGCCGAGCTCTATTTAAGCGTCGCGAATGAATATAACATCGGTGCTCGAATGGTCAGTTACTCCGATGTAATACAATCGAGAAGAACTGCAATTCGATTTTAAGATCGATCACGACGCCAAGCTCAGCGACGTCTCGACGTGGCTGCCGGTCTTTAGAGCGACTTCCGGTGCAGAAAATACGGGGTGCCGTTGTTTCGTTTTCGCTGCGAATAACGGCCAGATGGATTGCGTAATTTATTACCGATCACGTGGTCTCTGTACCCATAAAGCACCGCGAACGTCTTCGTAACTCGCTATCTAACCTCGGGAAACGTCATAAATCGCGGGCTCGCAGGAAATTCTATTCCCTGGTCTACGTTGTTCAAACAGAGGGCACAAGTGGAGGAAAGAAATCACGATTGAACGATCATTCCCTCGTATCCCTTCGGATTTCCAACAATTTCGAATCGTAGTTTCGCTTGATTGCCCCCGTACCCTTGCAACGGATCGCTTGATACAATTAAAATACTCAAGATAGCTCGACTAGGGTCGTCGTCACGCGACGATACCCCCGAACGCTGCACACCATTTACCCTCTCTGTTTTCTATATTTTTTAACGCGGAATAGCGGGTGTACCGATACAAAGGGACATTACGTGCTCGTCTCACCGGCGGTGCAATTCCGTGGCTGGAGGTATTTTTTAACGAGATGATTAATCACCGGGGTTATTATTTCGTCTCGTTGCAGCGGAAAACGCGGCTAGTAGCTCGATAAACGTTTGAAACACAGGCCAAAGGAAAGGGAAAAATAAATAAAAAAGGGAGAAAGCGTTTGCCGCGTGGCGCTTCGTTTGAAAAATCTGCCTGTTGTCCGGCTAGACCGGTGATCATTAATCGGGGGCCGTAATTGGAGGTTTAATTCGTCGCTTGAAGCGGGCATAATGGGAACGGTGCATATTCGATGATTTAAATCGGCGGACACTTGTCACGGCAACCCCTTTATCCGACTCATTGTGCAGTTAATCGTCTATTCGCGTTTTACGTAACGCTCCTCTTCTAGCTTCCTCTGTATCCTCCTGTTAGCCTCGCTTCCGGTGTTACGTAATCTCTAATGGAACTCGGATTCCCGGGGCTTTCCTTGGCAAACTGCGCCAAGTAACGTAGACACTTGAGCGAAAGTTGAATTATCGGGCCAATAATAAAAGCGGATTGGCAATGAAATTTCGGGGGATAATTTATCGGAAAAAACGGGCTAATCGGGGGGAAAAAGAAGGCTCGACTTCGGGGAACGTTGCTGGAAAGCTTTCAGCTTTCCTTCAGCGGCGCAACGATCGATTCGCCGTGAAATTTTTTCGCACAAAAGGTTCACTCGTCAAACAGTGGCAGAAACCGCACGATCGAGTTTCTCTTAACGTGGCCCGACTAACGGCCCTCGAAAATTTCGGTACAGTCGAAACCGTGACCCGGTTCACCGACGTAATAGTCGATGTAACGGCGAACGTACGAATGCTCTCTCATGTTCGAGTCAATTAAGCTCTATCGATTGCCTCGGCGACAAAGACAAACCCCCAGGACTGCTCGAACGTTGGCGTGGCCCGTGGTCCAGGACCGCGTTTATTGTTACTTTATTAGCGGCTCGATCGCTGCCGAATTACGATATCGCCGCTGGAAAATGTAGCATGCGGTCGATCGACCCATAAAGATTCCACGTTCGTAAAACAATCGTTGAGTTTACGCGAGCTTCGATTGGCCCATTCGGAATAACGGACGTCCGGCTTAACGATCGTCAGAGTACGCGTAGCGAGTCCATCGGAACAATGGCGATTCGCAAAATGGTTTATCGCGGACATGACAAATGGGAACCGAATTAATTAGCCGTCAGAACAGGGTATTAGGGTCAGAGTGCCGCGAGGATTTGCATCTCGAGTTATCATTATTCTCGAAGGAGTAACGAAAGAACACGAAAGCCGCGTATTTCACCGTTAGATCTCTCGATCGTCGCGTTGAAATTCTAAGCCGGCCCGCGCAAAGATCTAGAAAATTTTCCACCCTCGCAACGCCGCCCTCGTACCCCTGTAATTTCTTCTATTCCTCGCAAACGAAGAACCGCTTTAAGGCCGGTCTTTAGCGTGAGCTTTATCGCTAAAAGCAATAAAGAAACCACCAACGGGTCAACGTATTCAACGTCTCTCTCGTTTCCGTTTCTATTTCGAGCCTCTCTGTCTGTCCCAGTCTCTGCAATGGCTCACGATCCTCTGTGTACACCGTACAGGTCTCTCCGTGAATGACAGCATGCGCACCCCTAAAGCCTTGCCCCATTTTTCTCCCGAATGCATTCTAATTCCCCGTTTCTCATTCTCGACTTCGTCTTTCGTTTCTCGTTCCTGCCCGATTCGCAGGCTCCTCATTTTCCTCGCGGAGGCGCCTCTTATCCGATTTAATATCCTTTTCGCGGGACTAAACTCGCGAAGGGATGAAGCTGCGAAAAAGGGGGGCGAAGGGAAAGACATACGCGCGAAGGTCGGCGAGGATAAATTGAGTTCTCAAAGAAAATATGTATATAGGAGCAGGAAGATCGTGGGTCTTTCGAGCGAAGCGACGATGGATCGCGTTCGAATGGTATTATTTTTCAATAAGATCGATGTATCGTATCGATCCTCTCGCGAGCCGAATCGCGGATAAAAGAAGTTCGTTCTCGGCTCGTTGACGGAAAGTATATCGTTCTTCAGATCCATTCGCCGATCTTAAACGAGACGTCGGCTCGGGAGCCAGTTCTCTACCCTCCTTTTCAACCCCCCTGTTGAAAGTCAGCCCGGCGAAAAAATAGATTCGGTATAATAGAAACAGCGAGAGTAAAAAGCCACTGTCGAAAGACCGCGATATTACAGCGGCGTAACTCGCGAGGCTTGGTTCTTTCGCGAATCCTTCTTCATCCGGCGTAGTTACTTTAAAAACGGATCCTCTCTCTGATCGATGAAACGCGGCAAATTCCTTTGCGTTTCGCGTAATATCGAAAGTAGGCCGGTTTGCGAGACAGATTGAAATGAAACTGAACCGTGATGCGCGAATATCAATAACTAGATAGACTGTTCACCACTGTGCACAGTCCTTTTAAACCTATCGGCTCGTAAAATACCACACGGGCAAAAGTCTTTACGAAGGTAACGAGCACGATGAAAGGAAGGGAAAAAAGGAAGGAAAAGGGAGAGAGAAAAAGGGAGAAAAAGGAGCGAGAGCCGTTGCGGTTTTCTCGAAACACGCGGACCATTTTCCCACTTTTCCCGAGCAGGAGAATTCGCCTGTACACCGTCGGCGAGTGTTTTTACGGACGAGAGAGTACGAGGAACAGTGGCATCGACTGTTCCGACGTCGCGAAATTTCAAAAGAGGAAGCGGAGTCGTTGCGGAGAAGAAAGGGAAAGAAAAGATCATGGCTCGAGTTGATGTTCGTTACGTTCGACCGCGCGTCCTTCGAATTCGCGAAAGTTCGCGGGAATATTCGTGAAAGTCGGATCGCCGGAAAATTTGCGAAAGTCGGACCGGAAGGAAAATTCATGAAACTCGGGCCGCGGGAAAATTCGCGAAAGTTCGTGGGAAAATTCGCGGAACTCGGGCCGCGAGAAAATTTGCGACAGTCGGACCGCAAGGAAAATTCGCAAAACTCGGGCCGCGGGAAAATTCGTGAAATTCCGCGGAAAAATTCGCGAAAGTGGGATTGCAGAAAAATTCGCGAAAGTCGGATCGCAAGGAAAATTCGCGAAACTCGGGCCGCAGGAAAATTCGCGAAAGTCCGCGGGAAAATTTATGAAAGTCGGACCGCGAAAAATTCGCGAAAGTCGGATCGCGGAAAAATTCGCGAAACTCGGGCCACGGGAAAATTCGCGAAACACGCTCCTTATACTCGCAAAGTGTCAAGAATCGGAATCGTTATCGCGCGATCGTTCTAAAAATTCTCGGACCCTGCCAAATCTGTACAACCCTCTCGTTCCGATCGCTCGATCGCCGGTCACAGGACCCAGTTTTTCCGCCTCTTTCCTCCCGTTCGAGTAGCGTTTATGGAGTAGTCCGGGCTGTTGATTGCCAAAAGTAAGACGGCAGTTGGAAAGTTGGCGAAAAGTTTCTGTACATTTCCGATAACGAAATTTATCGCGGTTGCGTGCGGAAAGAGGGTAGGTAAAGGAAAGCGAGTCTGGCCACGATTCCTTGAGAGATTTGGGAAAACTTCAGCGCGGCGCAAATGGACCATTGGAACTCGGGATCGGTGTCTGGCTGGGACTGGAAGTGGGGTGTCCCATCGGGCAAAAATCGAATCCCGGTTGCGAAAAATCGATCCTCCCGGTATTATTTCGAGGCTCCTTCGTTTTTTCCGACCTCACCTCGTACCTTTTAATCGAGCGTTAGGTTTCTCCCGGAGTGTTCGCAAAGTTGGAGCAAAAAGTGGGAGAAAAATCACCGGCTACGAGAGATTTTTCCATTTCGAGCAACGAAAACGTCAGCGCGAAGTTGTCAGTGCGATCGAAACGATCGTCCTTGATTCTTTTCTGCCTTCCTCGGGGACTCATTAAGCCGTTTTTACTCTGCACGCGAGTTCCCCGGATGAGATTATACGATAATTAGCAAACTGGCCGAGTTGAGCACGGTTTTTCACATGAGCGTGCAAGCAGCGACGATTGATCGCGTAAGCGTTATTCGAAATTACGTTAAACAGCCTCGTCGATCGCGGACGAATTTGAA